GTGAACACATCATGAGACAGAAACCAGCCACGCTCACTCATTCGTTGCATTCGTCGTCCTTTTGCTTTTATCAGCGTTGTCCTTCGGTCATGAGATTCGTTTCCATGAAGCAGCACTCAGTTTACGGGCTACGAGGATTGCTTTTTAACCTAACAATCTGACTGTGAGTTCCGATATAGTCTTGGTATAAGATCGACTATCTACTTGTTCTTTCTATTGCTGCTGCTATTTTTTTCTCCAGGCTTCTCCCGATAATTTTTTGGATGTTAATCGTCCTACTCTGAACAGATCATCTTCTTTCATCTTCCTTAGATCTGTGCTGCTGCAGTGTGTCTTTATCCTTCGAAACAGCGTTCGAAATCAGTTCTTCTTGTGATTCATTGGATGGTTGATTTTGTAGTTCATTATTTGCTCCGTAAGTGCCCCTTTTCGGTATACACAGGCTCCGAGAGTCCGGTCAGTTTTCCTGTTCCCAAAACTTACAAGGATGGTAGTCGGTTATTGCTTTTCCGTTCCCTTGTGAAGTTATACCGTCAATCGTAGCACGGTGAAATTTATATACGTTGCTGACAAGGGTCACCTGCTTTGCCGATTACTCGTTTTGAGTTGGGGACTGATAGCGACACGCACCGTAATTTCTGCATCATCAACAAAACCTGATGTTGAATATTCCATTAGAGTCCCTTTCAGCTGTTGATATATTTGTCCAACCAAGTTAATGTACGTATTCATGCAGAAGTTAACAGTTTGCATAGACTTTAGGATTTCAAGCTTCCTAGTATGTTTGGGAGCGTGGTATCCCACGAGGGATTCGATCAACCGAAGCGTTCACCACTACATGCAAAAGACCAACATCTCAATCCGAATAATCAGAGAGAGCAGACTATCGGACTGACAATCGAGAAACAGGTAACCTCTTGAGGTTACCGAAAATCTAACTGCGACGGGTCAGCAACGGCTTCGACATNTCGCAATCCGAATAATCAGAGAGAGCAGACTATCGGACTGACAATCGAGAAACAGGTAACCTCTTGAGGTTACCGAAAATCTAACTGCGACGGTTCAGCAACGTATTACACATGATAAACCATCGCTTAACTAGAAGTGTTGTTCTCACCACCTCCAGAATGGTGCAGACTACGAAGTGGACATTTGACTTCGAAGACAGGTAGGAGACATAACCGGAAGTTTCGCTGTTGGTGCGGTCCGTCTCCATGAATAGGGCTTTCGTAAACTTCCCAGTGCGTTACTCAAGACGAAACGATATCAGCGGCGGTCATATTATCTGCTTTTGAGGAGGTTGTGCTTGAATGTTTAAGGGTATGCGCACCTCAAGATACTTGCAGTTTTCTTCTCGTTTGCCGTTATTTTGCCACATCAAGACTTCAACTATAACTGAACAAACTTTGCGATAAGGCATCGGTGTTCACACCCGTATTGCTGCCTCTAACGATGACGAGTCAACTATCGCCAGGAAACTAATGGAAGATTTCACATAACCGTACAACGACCACTAGCTTCCGCAATAAGATCGGATAGGAAACATCAACAATCAATCTTCAAGCTGGTTGTGGAGGACCTTTCGTCTTAAGACTGGAACACTGAAGTCAATTTTCTAGAAAATTGGGTCCCAAGCACTTTTTCACATTCGATGTCATTGTTCCTTAACTTGCTGACTATTCCGGAAAATAGGGCATCTATTATCTTTCCTAACGTCAGCAGAAAACACTGGTTGGCCGATATATGCAAAAGCTGGGTGGTAAGAATCACGTGACGGAAAATTGAAAAACTACCGTGTTCAGACCAGCACATCAATTTTTCAAGAGTTACACTCTCACAAGGACATAAACCGATACCAGTTGTTAAGAGGATGGAGCACGGTACTGACCTAGCTGGCCGCTACGGTCTTAACAACAGAGCTTCTAACCTTTCACATTTTATGCAGCCCTCAAGCAAGTTTCGATGATGTTTACTTCAGGGCTACGAAACTGCTTTGGTACATTCTGTTAGCGGTGCTAGAGAGGCTCTCAGACGTAGGGACTGTGGATTCAAGAGAACAAGTGTTTCAAAAGATGAGTAACTGTGAGTTCCGTAGTTCGAGAACGGTAGTTGACCGGATAAATGACATCCACCTGCGAAGTGTAATCAACACACCACAATTTCGTGGTCACATCATCCATTCACGATTAATTTTGTTCGCACTTTACCGGCCATAAAGTTGAAACGATTTCTACTCACCACGACTGAGAGGGTTGCAGTAATTCGATTTGAAACGTCCACCCGTTGACGTAAACGCTGTCAATTCACAAGTGATCAGCGACAGTGAAACACGAACTAATAGATTACACCATTACAAAGTGCAGGGTCCAGAAACACAAAGGTCACAGAAGAGAGAATGAACTGTTTCAAATTGCCCTCCAAGTCTATCCTAATTACCGGTCATGAAAGATACTATCCTTTCCACACGGTGACTGATTTCGCGGAGAGATCGCCCGGAAAGTCCAGGTCAGCAAACACACCAAAACTCTTGAGCAACGCAAGCGATTTGCTAGTTAAATCTGAAGTATGAAGTAATGAACATAATGCACCACTTCAGTTGATCTCTTCTTTATGGTCCACAGTTGTTTCAGTGGCAATAATCTGATGAATTGCTTGTTGTTGACTACAACCTTATTAACACAGTCAAAAAGGTCACTACTTTTATCGTGACTGCTGTGTATTCAAGGAGGTTTGGGTAGCGAACTACGCAGGCTTTATTGGTTTCGGCTTTGCCATAAAATATTCCTTATTCCATAAGTATTCTAAAGAGCAACCAGCTTTAGGATTGAAGTTTATTGCCGATAATCTTGAATGCGGTTTTGTGCTGTTATCAAAAACCGGGCCTGTAGGGCATGAAGTGAGATCTAGACTACGTTCCCTTTGTTTGTCTCCTCTATCGAGAATTATACGACATGCATTGGGTGTCTGATGAGTATTTTTTTACTCCAAACACCGTGCTTTACCCGATGAAACTCATAGAATGAGTCTGTAGGGATCGCAAAGTATCCTAACTGAAATCTGAGGATGGCTGGACGTCGTGTTAGGTTGTCTCAAAGGATATTCAAACTCTAGCATGACATCTAAAGAACTGCGCAGCATTCAAGACATATTAACTTTATATCTCGTGGGTCCTGTGGAGATACATTAGGAATTCTGTGGGAATGACTCAAGAGTTTTATGGGGGCATTTAGAAAATGCAGGAAGCTCTTGTTGAAACAGATACGGCCGAGTACAGTCAAAGAGAAATGATCAGCCCTAATAAGGTTCTCCAAATAAAGACAACCGACCCCAAAAACCAAGAACACCTTCGGAGGTTCTCGTGCAATTCGATATCGACTGCATGTCTTTTGTGGAATCAGACCCAAATGCCAATAAGGAGTACCCTGAATGTACTGCAAGCGAGACTCTCAAACTTATCAGGAGGAGCACGCATCAACTGGCTTTCCGTGTGTTCCAACCGTAAATGGACAGCTCGCTGCCCACACCTCATACACTAGCTAAAGTCATCCGGTCAAGATTTGTGTTACAATACGTTTTCACAATGCAAATTATTGCTTCAGGAGGATCACGGTGAGGTAAGTACGTGAGGGTACTGTTGCACTCTTTGGTCATCCAATTGTGAAGACAACATCCAAGGGTAAATATTGCAATGCAGACGAATCCGTCATCTAATAAGTAGAATAACTCGATGGCCATTGATTAATTCCAGGCGTAGACCCATTTGCAAAAGCAACCGCGAGCTGATCATCAGGAAAAGTGGATCTGACAAACTTTCAGTGTCTCGAAGGTGGATTAGCATTACTCAAATACCAACTGAAGAAGCGGAACTCAACAAAATCGCACAAACATCGACCAAGCATTTGCGAATCAAGTCAACGGTTAGAACATGGTGTATCAACTATGAAATTAGACTACTATTGGTGGAAATTCGCTCGAATCGCGTTCCAAGGAGCAGCTTTAAGCTGACTTTTCATTCCAAACACACCATTTTAGCCAGCCCTTTAGTATACATTGTTGCGCCCTATTTAATAAACCCAATCAAAAACTGTGTAGCAGTAGCAGTCCAAAAAGGAGAACGCAATCAGACTAACGAAGTTATTTTATCCATATTCTCAACAATACAGAGTGGAGATACCCAAGGTGCTAAGGAAGCTGCGAGATATCCAGATTTCAATTGAAGCATCCTGAAAGTACAGTTAATCAGAGCTGAGAAGACGAGATACGCCATACAGCTGTGTCACCCCTGTTGGGAATCACTGGCAGCGCGCAACTCAGGATTCTCGAGACAGGTTCGAACCCTCGAACTTCATGTTAGAAGCTCAGCAATACACAGCTACGAGTGGCACGATTTCCAGGAACTTTTAGGGGATAAAGCGTTACCATCCTTCGGTCATGAGGCTCACATCGAATGATCGAATGCTGACTGACTTCTAGGGTGACAGTCTTTGAGGTCCACACGAACTTTCCTTTGTTTTTGAGCGGATCAGTTAGTTATTAGGCAGCAAAAAGATCGGGTGTTACGTTGTCTTTTGTACCAAAATATGAAACAACTTTTTTCTTGACCCTGACAATCAGTCCTGTATTTTAAAGCCTTGAGGCCAATTTGGATTTCTGTGATGACGGGTCAGATAAAAGCCAAGAACAGAACCCTGCGTAACAACCAATATACCGAAAGACTGGGACCCGACATTGTTTTGCGCACCAACAGCTCACGACATGCCATTGAAGAACGATCTGAAGAACCTTTGAACTCGTGATATTCGCTGAACATTCTTCAGTCGGACGAGCCACCGTAGGTAGTGCGATGCCTGAGTACGTTATATGGATTGGTCGATAAAATTCGTCGGTAGGTACAAAATACTGTTCGTTAAAGTCTTGCCTGATGGATGGTCTTATCTTTAATTACGTGTATTGCGCGCCCACACAAGTGCGGAGGTATCTAGGACTGTTTTGTCATATCAAACAATATTTACTCAATAAATAGGTGAATCGGATAAAAACACAGCTTGGAAGCATGGATTACTGGGTACTTTGTACAAAGTCTACAAGAGCATCAAGGAATATTTTTATCCTCGAGCACCGTCTCCGTCATTTTGTTGCAGGGACACTTTCGACAAAAATGCCAAATAGCCCTTGTTGCACCGGTTAGCGTAGTGACCTTTCTCACCACACTTGAAGCAAGTTACTTCGTCTAGCGGTTTTTGTGGCCCTTGTCGTGGGCCGGTGGCAGCAGTCGCCGTCTGTGTGAAATTCATAAGGCCACCGTATTTGAGACGTTCGGATTGGAATCTGCCACCCAATGCCTGTCCCGCCTGTCCAGCACCTGCACCACCAACTGCATTTCCCATGTTCTGAGCACGCTGTTGCTCCTGGAGACGTAAGCGCTCCTCGGGAGGCAACTTTAAACAAAACTGAATTTTGTGCCCACGTTCGCCTGTGAGAAAAGGGGGACAAACATAAGAGCACAACGGTGAAAACATTGTTTACAACCAAATAAAACAATCCATCGGTCACAGCACTCTGTCCCTTGTCCCCTTGGCAGTGAGTGAAATTCGATGGCACGGAGGTGGTGGCCCCGGGACATGCGTGACTTCGACACTAGCTGCAAAGGTGTCGAATATTATGATGAACACGTTCGAATTTACCCCCCCCCAACCTCAATAGCCCCTTGTGCGCGTACCGTGCAAAACTCAAGTGGACAACTTTAGTTAGCTTATGCACTAAGCTAAAATAGTGACTACGTGGGTCTCAATCGCCAAGACACTCAATGAATCACGGGACTACTCACATCTGCTTCGTTGTCAAAGCCTACAAACTCCGAGCCCACAATCCAGCAAGCTCTTCGTGAGAATCGTGAAACCTCACCTCAACAGTCGGCTTCATAACAAACCCAAAGTATCGGCTGAAACAAAGTATCCACCTTCTTTCCCAGCGAACGTAAAATATTCAAACTCAATTAAGGCAGCAGTTCACTTGGTCTACGGTCAACTTTGATTTGGTGGACAGGAACCCCCGCCCAAAAAACATCACGTTGCGTGCCGAAGGGACGGGAGCAAAACGCTACTCAGGGCAGTTCAAACCAAGTGCATAAACCACCAAAAGTTTAACATTCACCATCAAAAGCTGGCCCTTTATCATATTTTTTATTAAGCTATGTAGATGTTTTACTCACATTTTCCACAAGCCATCAGCGGCTACCCAGTTCAGTTCATCCACGCTACCGAAGAGCATTTCAGGTGAATAAAGGCCTTGATGTCCTGCCCCACAAACTTTTTAAATGGATTTATTTTCGCATTTGTACGCAGAAGTCAGAATATCAAATGATCAGGAGAGGGACAATGATCTGTTTAGTTGGGGTGCATGAATGGAGGAGCTGACTGTTAAATCATCATTTCCCGAGCATTTGCTTTACAAGCAGAAAGATGACCTTTTGGTGCCCTGATGTAGGAGCCAAGTGGGAATTTTCGCCTGGTTTCACTGATCTATGTCTACAAAGTAAAAAGAATTCCGGACAGCAAGAGATTTTGTTGTGACTTCGCCTACAGCAACCTCTCTCATTTTCACCCATGAAGCACCTGTAGCAAACCTGGCCAAGTCGCATTTATTATCACCAATGAACACCACATTTTGCAGTTCATGATTCCATAAGGTAGGATCTTCGGCACACTTGCCTCTGTGCCTCTGCACCAAAGGTCTTCTCACAACTTCGGATCTGGGAGGCCGGAAAGAGCGCAGCGCTTGTCGAAGAAACTTGACACTCCCCTACAGATTCGGAAGAGCACGAGT